CTTTTTGCACGTCCCCCATTTATCCCTCCTATTAGCATTTTTTTCCTCTTCCGTTTCTTGGGAAGGCTTACACTTTATTGACTACGTAATATATGATACGTAGGGACTCGATCTCTCAACTTCAGAGCGAATTTCTCCAATTTAGGAGAGGCTCCATCAACGATTTTAGAGACATTCTATGGAAGACGCGGTTAGAAACCTAATAACTCCCTCTTGTCTACATATCTCATGGGGTTTCTCCCCATATTTGCAGACTTCAAGGTAAACAAAGGAATTTGAGCTAGTTTAGAGAAAACAAAAGCTTTTTTGATCTTAATGAAAACCACATGATGCACCGTAAGTTGAGATTGGAAAGTAACAGATATATGTTGACATTAACCGTGGATTTTCATTGTTCGTAAACACGTTATGTAGACCTAACCATCATCCTATTTACTTTAATATTCCTACATAAAGTGTATCTTATCTATCAATTTTGTAAATGTCAACAGTACCTTTTTTAAAGTTTCTAACATGCTTATATCGTATTTACAAACGGGTTCCTGGTTTCACATCCTCACTCTTCTCCACTTCAAATATTATAATACCCTTCCAAATAAACTCAGTTCTGTCTCCTTAAGTTCAAACATTCTATAGTGTATCATATATTTGTCCATAATAAGTTGTCTACTCGTACCCTGACACCTCTTACTAAAATTTTCATGGAGAAGTGCTATCTCTACTCACGTTTTCGAAAGACTGTAAGCTTCAAGTGTAGGATCTGTGCAGACGTCGCTGTACTAGTCTTTGAGCCCTTTTAGTTTTATTCAAACAATGTTTAGAACAGCAGTTGTCCTTGTGATTTGCTTTTTTTCTTAGAGTATTAATGCTTAAATTCAATGATGGTTACTGATTCGTTCTAGAAACTGCAAAAAGGCACGTATGTACGACAAACGTGTGGGTAGAACTAAAGGTAAAACAGAACTGACCAATAATTGTACTCACAAGGACTAGGTAATATCTCGTTTGCACGGACCTTGGTGAGCAAAATGTGGATCCGCTTAATGGGAATTTCTTGGTATTCCAGTTCTCACAACCGTTTGACACCTACTTGAAACAATTTGGCAAGTTACTATCTAAAATCTCACCAAGAAATATATATATACCAAGGGTCTCTTCCCCCTACATTCAAGTCAGTTTTATCATACGTATACCATTTTCTTTATTCAAAAATTTGTCTTCTAATAATTATTAGCACCACTTGGGGAATCCAGACAATATAGTTCGGTTAACCCAAGAGGCTAGAGTACACTACCTGAGTCTGTAAAACTGGATCTACGGGCACGCTAAATAAACTCATGTGGGAATAAAGGTTTCTATGTAGTTGCCTGGGCGGAGTTATTCTCTAGTTTTATCTAAGATCCTATCCATTCATTAACGTAATTGGCAAAACTAGGTTGATAATCGAGATAGTTGCCGATACTTACCAGTTATTTGGTAGATAACAATAACATGATTACTCTTGTCATCAAGTTGGAGAAAGACTTGACATACAGTCAAAAAACCTAGTATTGTTCACGCCCAAACCCAAGTAAAAAATATTATCATTTCACCTATGGTGTAACGTATGCGCACAGTGCTTTTGTTTATAAATTAGTAGTACCATGTATTTTAATATTTTCAGTATCACATTGAAATAGTTCATAGTACAAGTAAAATGGAAAACATTTGTATAACTCCATCCTGTGGCAAACCGTCTAATCTAAAGTGCCCTGTGTGTCGTGATTTGGGGATTGAAACATCATTCTTCTGTTCACAAGTATTTGTCAAGAAATAACAATATTTTCATGTGTTAATTTCGAGGAATGTTTCAAACAGTTTTGGAAAACACATAAAACAATACACGTTGTCGGTACCGGTCAGTAAACAATAATTCAAAGCTTACCTCATTACAGAAGATGCGTGCGAAGATGTTCGTTTCAACGGATATAAATTTACAGGTCAATTACGACCTGCTAAAAAAGTAATCTTGTTTACTTCTATACACAATGCTTCCAGACACCTAAACGAGAAGTGAAGGGTTCCATTGAATTCCCAGACTACGCTATCACAGGTATTTGAAGACTGTTTGTTTACTTTTATCTTAATCATGTAGGGATACCCGTTTCAGAACGCCAAGCGAAAAGTTCTCATAGTATTGTTGTTTTGGACGACGATGAAATTGAATGCATGCGTGTTACAGGAAAGGTAATTTGATATTTAAAATGGAAACATCCCAGTAAAATTTTAGTGCTGAGTTGCCTAATACAATGTGTGCGTCTCAACTAACTTTAATATTCTACAAAAAGTTGAGCTCCACTTTTACTAAGAATTTGTCGATCTTAAGACATATTGCGTGAGGCAGTAATACTCTCAGACTGTCTAAACTGAAGCTAATGAAGTCTCTGGCATAGTAGTTGAAGTTCAAACCCCCTAATCAGTGAACCGCACAGAATATTATATCCATCAACACACTATCATCCCACTGTTGTTCTTTATTAATCCCAATGTTTTCTAAAAATTCTTGCTACAAGTGTGCTGGGAGTCAACCAATTACCATGCGTTTTACTTGGTAGTATACAAATGTAAATTTATGCTACCTATTTTCGTTTTTATGAAAACTCATAAATCGGTGTATACTTAGGGTGCGAAACACTGTTCGCTTAACAGATTACACTTCGTAATAATTCATGGTTTGGTTTCTAAATGTCCATATGTATCCAAAAAGTCTCCAAAAATTAAAAATGGTCAGCTAGACGTTTTGTTTGATTTTACAGATCAAACTCAGTCTTTGTTGAAATAAATGGTGTCAGAATGGTTGTAAATGTAGTCGTTGAATATAAATTACGGTTACCAGTTGTTGCTTAGTACTCGATGTTCTACTATCCACTGAGGTAATATTTGACTAACACATGTATCGCATTCCAATTTTCCATCTGACGAAACAGTAAACAATTAATATATGTATGTCTATCAAACAATACGTTGAGAACTGTGCATCTTATCTGTTGATGTTCAATTAACAGTTTTTATGTAGTTGTCAGCTGATCATATTTCGTTGCAGTACTTTTGCGTTCTCGATAATAATAAAGTGTGATCTACACTTGCGTTTCAGAAAAAATTATCCACAGTTTGAAATTAGTTCTGAATATTCTTTTTTACTCAGTTTTTACAAATTAATGGTTCCCTTAGTTGACGTCTTATATTTATATTTTCAAGCTTGCCCGTGAAGTCTTAGAAGAAGCAGTAAAAGCTGTTAAAGTTGGTGTAACGACTGATGAAATCGATCGAGTTGTACATGAGGTAAGAAGCTAATTATAGTTTTGTACTCTTGGTGAACCATCACTTGTGAGGTTTTCACCCTTTTCATTTTCGTTTAATTTTGTTACAGACATCCTTTTGAAGATAATACTCTCAGAAATCGTTCTCTAACCAGGAGATTTACTTGTTGACTTAGAATATACAAATAATTTAGTTCTGTTCGATGATGACCATAAAAAATGCAGTCTTGTGATCTCCATGGGCATCAATCCAAGCACATTTCAAATATGTTTCTCTTTCTCCAACTCCCAAATGTTACTTTAGACCCTATTTGTATCAATGTCTATGCACAGTTGTTTTTAACGGTTGCAAAATAATCTTTTAGGGATGTCCACCAATAAATAGATTTATTTGTCTTCAGAATAGTCTTTATTACCTGTGTGTGCTGTATATCTAAGACCCGTAATCAAGATCTTAACAGATTACTATATATTCACTTCAATATCCTCTTCAATAGACAATCCTAGAGAACAGTCCTGTCCAACGAATCGAAGGCAGCCCTGATGTCAAGAAACACTACGATTGTTGGCATTTGATAAGTATGACAGTGTTCTAACATGATCAATACATCTTCGAGCAGAACGAAAACTAGCCTGCTCCTCGCAAGTCAATCTTTCTCGGGTTTTGAACAACCTACGAATTATGACGGAAGCCAATAGCTTGGACGCAATCGGAAGTAGACTTATCCCCCGATAGCTGTTACAAGAACGACGTGAACCCTTTTTAAAAATAGGGACAACTATCAACTCATTCCACGATGTCGGGACACTTTGATTCCCAGACAATTTTTAACAACTCGGTCAGTTCCTTAACTAGAATATTGCCACCACCTTTAAAAATGGCTCGAGGTAACTCATCTGGGTCTGATAATTCGTAACGCTTCAGGAGTTGGATTTCCTTGTGGATTTGCATTCGTTAGGTGGATCAGTCGTCAAAGGCCACGGGATGTAGGACAGTCTGATCGATATCGCCGGGGTAGGTGACCAGTTGAATCGCTCTTCGAAAAACTGGTCGTCGTCCAATGTCGAACTCTTTTCCTGCAGAAGAACACTTATCTGGTGGTAGAGTTCATCCGTGATTGCATCCGGGTCTGCAGTCTGTTGAAGCGTAGATGTAGATGACCAAAAAACACCGTTGCCTACACCGATAATATTCATAATTCAATGTTGGGATACATTGTATTGACATTGTTTAAAATCAGTTACAATGACTCACATGTATGTTTATTTTTATTTTACCTACCAATCTTCAATTTTGCTATTGTTTCATATATTTTGTTTCTTGGTTTGATTTTCTGTTCTCCAAAAGATATTGTTTTCATTTAGTATTTTACAATCATTGATATTACTAGTATTTATCCTTCGTTCTGTTATTTTTTTATCATGGTATTATTAATTATAACAATTTTAATCGACGCTTATTTTTATCAAATCCTTGTTTTACGAGTCACTATTGATTGCTTGGAAATAAACGTTTTTAAAATGATGAAATCGTTCAGGAAGTAGGAACTTCTAGGCTTTTTAGACCATTATATATGTTTCTTTGGGAAACAATTTTCTATTATATTCTTGCACGTCTTGTTAATTAGTGAATTGAAAAGTTTCAACTTCTATAAATTTGAAGTTCAATACTTGTTTCATCTGTAAATCTTGTCCTTTTAGGCTCTGCGCCATTGCGTTTATCTAAGCGAAAATCAAAGTCAACAACTGATAGTTCTGAGTCTAACAATAATGAGACTAAAGTGGCAATGTCATCAGTGGAAAATTCACATAATATTCCCACCAATATGGCTATAAATAGATCACATAATGGAAAAACTGTTAGTGGTGTACGAAAAAATGATAGTACGGAATCCGATATCAAAATAAATAATCAAATAGCATCGATCACTAGTGCAACCACTGTGTTTACTCCAGTCTCAATGATTGCAACCACAACGTCGGCATCATCTGCAGTTAATTTCACCCCTCTAACTGTTTCACTAACACCTACTGGTATGACTCAAACAACTCATCCGATTTTTGCAGCTAATGCTTCTGGTCTAATGTTTCCTACAATGACTGCTCATCATCATCATCTTGTTCAACAACAACAAGCAGCGACTGGAACTGTCATGTTACCAAGTGTCAGTGTAGCTTCCGTAGCAGCAATGCATCCATCAGGAATTGCTTTACAACAGCAACAACATCAACAGTTTTTTGCCATGGCTGCTATGCCAGCTCTTGCTCAATCAATCACGGTCACACAATCATCTAATGGTGTTCAACAAGGTACTAATGTTCAACCTACACAGACTTCAATTCATTTTCAACCTGAATTAAAAACAGTAGCCACACCTTCAGGTCCTATGATGGTATTGACTCATATAGCTACCCCAAATCAGTCCGGTCAAGCTCATCCATTGGTCAGTTTCTTTTATTCATGTGTTATATTTTATAAAACTTATCTATCAATCAGTTTTTATAGGTTCATTTTCTTGGTTACTTCATTTTTTTATATATTGTTGTACTAATCATTTCACTGTTTATATTGTTCTCTTTTTGTCGAAAGTCGTTTAAATATTGGATACTGGCTTACTAAATTATATTGTTTGAATACAGTTAGATCATTCTTGTTTGTCGAGCAGGTTTCTGGATCTTCATATTTATTTTCTATTCTATGTTTTACCAAAAGTTGCTGATTTCATAATTGATTTGTTATTTTTAAACGAATATTGTTTGAATGTGCATTGAAACGATATCTGTTTCAAAAATATTTAGAAATATAACTGCTGCATTATTATTCAGATCAATTGTGCTAACCCTTACTTTACTAACTTAGTCTAACCTAATTTTATAAAAGTTGCAAAGTTTATAGAATCTTATTTTATTAATCATTCTTAACTTGACTTGAACGAGTGAAATCCTAAGAAATATGAAAAAGTCATCTCTCATTTTGTGTTGCATACCTCATTTAACTGAATATTCTCTGGTATAGGTTTAAGTATTCTCCTCTATGTTATTTTAAATCACTGTCCGTACCAATGATATATATCAGTCAGTACCAACGTAGAACTTCGTACGTACGTACATCAGTTCGAGTTGCCACACCACATTAGCACAGAGATGCAGTTGTCCATTCAAATCCCGTAGTGGTAGAGGTAATAAGAGTATAAGCAGTAATCGGGAAGATTAGGGTTTGGAGATGTTATATAAAGAGTATAATCCAGTGAAATAAATTTGGAAAGAGGAAAAAAGGGACATGGAGAATTCAGAAGATTAGAATTTGGGAGAACACAAAGAGTGGATGCACCTACGCCATTGCAAACGATTTTGAGCCATGTCATTCAACGTCGCTAACCATTGGTTGCTTTCATCTCGCGGTCCCCAACCAGGTAGACTACACTTACCAACATGACTCAGTCCACTTGTCAGTGACTTCATGAACTTGTGCCATGTTTTGGTTTGGCCGCCCCTAGCTTTCTTCCAACCTACTCCTATACCACTGAACATAGCACGTCGAGGCAGTCGGTGGTTGGGCATATGTAACACGTGTCCCAGCCATCTCAACTGATGAAGTTTCACTACTTCATCAATGGATTTGCCATCCTTACCTAGTGCCCGTTTCCTAACAACTGTGTTACTTACTCGATGGTCCCATGATATACGAGCAATGTTTCGAAGACACCTATGATCAAATACTAGTAGCCTATGAATATCCTCTACTCTTACCGGCCATGTTTCACTGCCATAAAGTAGGACGGAACGAACTGCTGCACAGTAAACACGTCCTTTGGTTGATAGACGGATATCTCGCCTACACCATTAATGACGCAAGTTAGTAAAAGCTAGTCGAGCCTTCTGTATCCGTGCTGAGATTTCGTCACACACCAGACCACAAGGGCTGGTGAGACTCCCAAGATAAGTGAAGCGGTCGACACAACTATATATATATATATATATATATATATATATATATATAATGTCTTTCATTTAATGTCATACTTATGCGAGTGTTTTTAAATTGAGTAAACTTGATTATAACTCTCGAAGATATGTTTATTAGCATTCGTCTTTTTTGTATCATTAAAAATAAGTACTTATAAAATTCTACTTTTTGATCATCCGTATTAAAATTATGGTGTAGATTCCCACTTGTTCGATCTCAATTTATGTAAATGAAATAATGAAATTAATTACTCATCCACCAAGTATAGGTTTGTTTAGTAAACTTCAAACCATATTGGAACTATGATGAAATGTAATTATACTACATAATTACCCAAATTGAAGCAAGTTCATTGGTGTGTTCGAAACGCCTTAATCACTGAGATACACCGCTTCAATAAGTGGAATAATCTTTTCCTGGTGAAAAAACAGTGCAATAACTTTGTTTATTCTAATGTAAAATGTAACTGCTAATAAATTACTAATAACATGGAATGTGAAAATTAAGAAAACCTTTAAATAAATAAATGAATATATGTTTTGGCCGCTCAATACTCTGTTACGTCTTAGGGTAAGGAGATCCTGGGCTGTCGTAATGCTTGCATATGACCAAACGTATATAGCCACCGCCAAAGAAGTCATACTCATTGCTTTCTCTCAGAGAGGTTGTTGTTTACATAATGAAAAGAGCATAAAGGGATTGTCAAGCTCTTTAACCTGGTTTGTGGATACAAAGGATTCACTTAGGGTAACTAGAAGAACCTGATTCCAAATCAACGCTTCACCTAGGTTCCAGGATCCTGAGGGAGCAAATGATATATGAACCCATTGTGGATCACTGGCTACCATGGGGTCGTATTTCCTGATATCGTTTCACTGCCTTATGGATTAGACTTCTAAGTCGAAGGCCCAAAGTATGGCCCCCTAAGAAAACCATTTGTTTCTGATTGATCGTTCGGCTCGTATCCCAGCCCACATACGAATTCAGTGATTTGTGTGGCGCATATATATTTTGATCCCCCTTTGTACCAATCTTGATGTGTCTCAATAAAATATATTGATCAAACATAAAAAATGAAGTTTTTATAAAACATTTTACCTATTTCAAATCTGAGTCAAAGATTTCTTTCCTTTTTAAAATTACATCATGATAAAGATAGAAAGTAAATTTTATAATTAATAAACACACACAATAGAATTTATAATTAGTAGTTTAATTGGTGATATTTCTACACTTTTATTAGATAGCTTAGTGAGGAATTCGTTTATTTATTTATTTAAAATATCAAATAAAGACTGAATAGAATTCAGGTTAACAGTTAATGATATTTATTGAAGAACTTAAATTTAATTTTGTAACATTCTTTTATTATTGTGTTGTTATATTTAGACTAGTCAAACGATTTTCCCTCAAGTTGTTGGATTTCATGCCACTGCAGCTCAACAACAACAACAACAGCAACACCAACTTCAACAATTACAACAACAACAAGCAGCAGTTGTTCAACATCAACAACTTTTACAACAGCAGCAGCAACAACAGGCTAACTATGCAGTGGCAGCTGCTGCGGCTGCCGCTGCCGCCGGTACACATTTAGTTGCAGTCTCTAATCATGGTAATTGTAATCAATCAACTGTCAATCAAACACAACAATTCCAAATACAACAACAACAACAACAGGCTGTGGCTTTGGCAGCCCATCAACAAGCAGCGCATGGTTTTATTTTCCCTGCTGCTGGGGTTAGTGGTAATGTTAACTCGGCAGGTACTGTTGCAACACCATCTGGTCCAACTACATTCTTTTGTCATCCACAAGAAGGAATGGCTGCTGGTTTGTTTCTGGCTTCTTCAACTGATCCAACTAGTTTTGCATTAGCAGCTGCTGCTCAAGCGCAAGCACAAGCAGCTGCAGCAGCTGTTGCTGTTGTCCAACAACAACAGCAGCAGAGTAACGTTAATGCTGTTAATGCTCAGAACAATTCTTCGATTGCTGCTACACAATTACAACTAGTAACAGGTTATTCACAGGTGGCGGCTGATGCTCAACAAACTGTTGCACAACAACAATTACAACATCAACAGCTATTGTTACAACAGCAACAACATCAACAGAGATTAGCAGCAGTGGCAGCTGTAGCAGGAGTTTCGCAAACTTCATCAATTGCCAATCCACATTCTGGGGTGTTGATGTCGTCGAACACCACCGGTAGTATTATCAATGCTGCGAGTGCTGCTACTGCTGCTGGTGGTAGTGGTACACCAGCCACCTCTGTAATTGTTAATTCAGTTCAAGAGGAACAACTCAGTCGGGTTCAGCAATCCGCTCATTTTTTAATTGGACAACAAGAAACAACAGGAACTAATAGAACAGTGAATAATTATCAACTGGCTGCATTTACAAATGCTGCAGCTGCAGCATTATATCAACAACAACAGCATCCAGGTTTCATGCTTGCAGCGGCTGGAAATACTGGCGTCACTAATACTAATGCAGCAATTGTTTCCAGAGGAACAACAGCAACTGTAGCAGCTATGGCTTTACATCATCAGCAACAACAAGCAGGTCTTATGGCGGCTGCAGCTTACCATCATCAACAACAAGTAGCTCAACATCAGGCTTTACAACAACAACAGCAACATTAGTAATAGTAGTGATGATGAGTTCAAATGAAAAAAAAAGCTTATAACATTTTGACATACTCATGAAGTTAGTCATCTATGTATGTATATTGTATTTAACTAACTATTATTATTGTAATTTATTCAAATGTACTTTCTTGTTTTGTTTTTTTATTAAATTAATAATTTTCTCGTATTTATTGGATTGCATTTGTCAGTTATTATTATTATTTTTCATTATTATTATTTCATAAACTCTTGTAGTAAAGAGATATGTTGGTTGGTGATTTATTTTTCATTTTCACCTAATATCCTTCATATATATATATATATAACGATCTAATCTGATATTCACCGTTGTACTATTTCCTCCTTTTTGTATAATTTTCTCTTGAACTTATTTTCACAGTTTCTTGTATATAAATATGTATGTTTCTGCGTATACTCTAGACGTAGACTACACCCTAATAAGTAATCTTGTGACTGGTAATGGTTTTTGTTTATGATAATAATATTAGTTGGTGTGGTTTTTTAGAATATTTATATTCGTCTACGTGGTTGCCAATATAAAACACGTTTGACTACTATTAATATTAATCTAGCACACCACTATGTAATTGTTTGTTTGTTTGAGACACTACCCTACTTATTTCCTTTTCTACAACTTTTCTATCTATTGCAATTGTTGTCGTTATGTACCACCTTTTAAATAAGAATCACTAATAATGTTTACTACAGTAAATAAAATACCTTTCTACTTTGGTTTTCTTTTCTTTTTTTGATACTGATGGTTATCCTACGAACAGTTTCAGTGATTATTATTATTATTATTATTGTCGCTATTATTCACTATTTGTACATGATTTTATTCAATCTAATGCTTTGATTGATAGCAAACGGTCAGTTTTTTTCTTCAAAAACATCTTGTTATTATGCTTTTTTAGATTTGTAAATCTTTTATCTTCCTATCCGCCTTATTATACTTTTTTACGCCTATCTTATATGACCAATATCATTCAGCGTGTTTCCTTATCCGTCTAGTGATGGTGAGCGGGTTAACCTGGATATTTGTGATCGCGTTGTATATTCTGAGTTTGAGCAGTATTCTCTTAGTCTAGATTTTTGTATTATTCAATTTTCTGTCTTTTCCATAATTGTTTTGTATTTGTCTTTCTGTCTCCCTCTTTCATGTGTATATATATGTTCAATTTCTTGACGTTTTCCTCAAAAGAAGTGCAAAAATAGTATTAAATAATGCATAGCAAACTATATTCTACAAGATGACATCCATTTTTTGAGGAGCTTGTAAAGAAAATTCATAAACGTATCGTTCTATGTTCCATAAAACATTTGCTAGCCAGACAGGTTTGTGTGCATGTTATGCTGTTGCATTTTTCTTTCTTGCTTTCTTTTTTCACCATTATTATGCATTGTATTTCATCTAATTTATAGAATCAATAATAATGATAATAAATGTTTCCCTTTAAATGGTTAATGTTCTATTGCTTGTCTGAACCTTATCTAGTCTTTACACTTGATTTGCATGCATCTATCTGTGCGTTAATTGATGTGTTTCTATGTCAGTCCTCAGCGAATAGAACAATTTGTTTTCTTCTGTCGTGTGTCCTCATCTTATTTTGTTTTGTTTTTAAAACAATTTGTAAATGCATAACATATAATTAGGGATTGTGAAAAATTAATATTATGTATTTGTTATCATTATTGTGAGTAATTATTGCCTTATTTTCTACAAATGTTGGTATTTTGTTTCTTCTCATGTTTTCTTTTGTTTCAATAACGATTATGATGATCGGCATGCGTCTATTAATGTATATATACATGACTATATGAGACAATACATCTACGTATATATTCTTTTTTTATTAATTACCCTGTGTTAGTATTGTTATTGGGTTTTGCATTGCAGACGATTGTTCATATCAAAAACCAATTCTAGGTAGACAATAATTAAAAACCAGAAATCACTGAACTTCTCTTTTGTCCTAGTATGGGATTCCGTGATAGTGGGTATCCACAATCCCTCCTGCGAGAATCAGGCCCAGGACCTTGAAGTATCACAAGGAGTACCCAACCTTTAGACCACTACCGAACCGAGATCTATTAGTTTAAATAGTAGAACGAACAACTACTTGGTCCTTGGTTTTCAATAGTTGTCTAAGATCAATCTGATGAAGTTAAGTGGTCTTCACAAACCTGTGTAGTAATAAATCCTAAATACTTCCGTTTTACATTGGTAAGTGACTTGATCGGTTTACATTTTGTTTGTGTGTCTATCTCCAAATCCAGATTCTTATCTGTCGTCTGAAATTTTGTTTTGACTCTGCTTATGTTTGAGTGTATTTGCTTTCTCTCTGTGTAAACACGAATTAGTAATATGCTGTCTTCTAAGTGATGTATACTTTATTATAAATAAAAATAATATATTTGTAATATCCCAATGAGTAGAAAATTGGATTTTCTGACGTTTCGTGACTTAGTGTAAGTCACTTCTTCAGAGAATAAATAACCAAATTAAAATTAATCCAAGTTTAAATAGCACAACGGAACAATGCAAGAATAATATTTGATCAATCAAAAAACAGGTCTGAACAAGTTGATGTCATGTCATTTCTGTCAAGGTGATACATAAGTGATATGTATGTAAATTTGTGTGTGTATGTATGTGTGCATTGTTTAAGAATGAAAACCTGTGTGACCTTTATGGTAAGAAAGGATAGAGTTTAAATTTGTAATATGATAGTGTGAAATTGTAAATACGATCAGACTGAATGGCTAGGATAGATGGTCCAAGTAGGATGTATGGTAAGACCTTTTCTATTGAGAGATATAGGATTAAGCATTATATGGAACGCTTCAGCTACTCTCCTTTCGTTGTAGTTGGAAAAGCCTTTTTGTAATATTTTGATATTTTTAAAATCAATTTGGTGGTTATTATATGTGAAAATTATATTTGAAATATTCTCAGCGATTGAAATATAACTAATTCCAACGTTTCGTCCAGCTAACTTGTCTGGACTTCTTCAGGGTAATAATCAAAATCAAAATTATCAAAGAAATATATAGCTTTTAACAATCAGGATTATACTGTGTTAAACCAATCATATTCGGCGCTCAATTACTGTCAAACTATTCGTTCTAATCTTGACGAATATTCGTATAAATTTGGTGGTTGTTGAAAATGGCATGAACTGCTATTGCCGATTTAATTTGAAGTTGATCCAATTCTACGGGATTGTTAGGAAGTTTTTTGTGTACCTAATATGTTCTTTGGCACTTGTCAAGATTTCTCGAGATGACTCTCCAATATAGAAGGCATCACAATGGACATGAATGGGATTTTTTTAAAAAGTGAACTAAAGTATTTCGAAATGTATTCGTTGTTTTGTAATATACTTTAATTCTGTGTTGTTTTAAGATTCTTTGGAGTTCTTCTGTTGTATCATGATGGTATGGTAAAACTGCAATACCAATCCATGGCATTTCATTCGAATCATTATTATAATGTAATAAACTGTTTTGTTTTAATATGCTTCTAATAATCTTCATAGGAAAATTAATAAATTGTAAGATGCTAATTATATTCATTTGTTCTTTTTGTTTGTCTTCCTCTGATGTGATGATCTTGTTAGCTCTTCTAAAAAGATTTAAGGCTAGCGAGATCTTTGCACTGAAAGGATGTGCTGAATGGAAGTCAATATAACGATTTGAATGCGTCGATTTTCGGTAAATGGAAAGGTTTAGACTTTCATTTGGATTTCTTTTTACTAAGCAATCCAAGAATGGTAGCTCACCATGTACATTTTCATTGGTGAATTTGATGTGCGAGGAAAGTGTATTTATTCGTTTTGAAAAAGATCTTAGATGAGTCTTTTTTTAACACTAAGTCACGAAACGTCAGAAAATCCAATTTTCTACTCATTGGGATATTACAAATATATTATTTTTATTCATAACAATCAACCCAATGCTCAATTTATTCGAAATTATCAAATCAAACCTTGGTAATGACACCTATACTTTATTATGTAATGGGAAATAAAAGATTGTCCTATATTTGTCATTAAGTTCTCACATATCTGACGTATGCTGAGACCACCGAATGAATGAAACCGACTTTAGTCATAATGTATTAGGTAAAAAGTGCAAATCGATCAAAGAGGTTCTGAGTCTTCAATTGATGTGGTTGAGACATGAATTTCGTCTGCTGAATCGCCGTTTACTTCAAGGGTAATGTCTGTTATAGTGGTAAGCTAGAGACGGTTTAGTCAAGATATTGCACTAATTTTTAAAGTGAAAATTGGACTTAATTAGATGAGTACAAACTATCCGTTAAGACTCCACGGATTTATCATACTCAGTGGTTGGAGATAGGTGATAATCCTACGTAACGGTGTAGAGATATCCACTTTTTGTACGGAGTGTTGAAATCTTCGTAAACTGTTTTACTCTTTCTACACCTAATTGATTTTATTACCGTTGATACTCTCACTTCTAATACTTTGTGAGTAGAGATGTTTTGTATCTATAGCTATGATGTTCTGAATTGTTGGTTGATATTCAAAGGTGATCTTTGTGGATAGTTTCGGTTGATTAAATTCTTGGGGTCGTAGTTGATTGGAATGAATTTTTGTCCTCAGATCTTCATAAAGTGTATTTATTGCTAACAGATCAGGGACGCTTGAAACTATTCACAACCTTAAAAACATATCTACGGTTTATGGTGTGTTTCTTGAAAACCGTAGTAATTCAGTCAGGAATATAATCAGGGTCATCTGTTGGTCATTCATACTATGAATTTTCAAAAATCTAAGGGACAAGATCAAACAATCTTTTGGAAAAGTCTTATGCTGATCTGTCTAATTAAAGGTCTTTTTGTAATATTTTGTAACTAATTTAGTACCATATGTGTGTTTTTTGCCTACTTACGCTAATATTACTTAGCTCTATTGTGTTCCTGATTATTAAGCTCGAATTAGGATTTGAAAATCGAAGACTGTTGTTTAAATATTTCATTTTTCTGTTTACATATCAGTTTTGCTTAATTTTTATCGGACTGTTACTATCTCCGTTTAATTAACTTCACGTCGCATTCTTTTTAAGTTTAAGTGATTTGTCTTTCAGTGTAAACTTCATAAAGTAACACTATAAAGTGGTTTTAATTTGTTAGACAACGCAAATTATCCGGTTTTATTCATTAATTGGATGTGCTACTTCAAAAATTAATAATACTGTAGTTAAGAAATATCTAAATGTGTATTCCAGTCAATTTTCTGCACAGCTATATTTCTCTCAAAAGGAATAGTAAGTCTAGTAAAAGTCAACCTACAATTGCTAGTTTTATCATTTGACTTTGAATTAAGAATCTAAGTAAAGACTATTGTTAACATATCCAGTCGGGTTACATTGGTTTTTCGAAAAGAACAGCTGGTTGTACATCTAATTATTTAGAATAGTGCACGTCTAAATTTCATCACATTGTAGACAAAGGAAGTCGAAAGTTCAAATTCTTTTCATTATAATATGCAAACTAGTAATGTTTTAAAAGTAATAATATAGTAGTGATGCTGAAAGACTTTGGTTGTCAAAACTCATTAATCTCAACTATGTACGAAGGATGCTTATCTTCAACTAAAAATAAACAACTTTTGTCATTGCCAAATATAATTATTCGGCTAGTCATCCCTTGATATGTTTCAGTGTTATACTACCATATCTTTGTGTTGACTGTACAACTGCTGAGGTTTTTACGGGTTATCCAGTCTTGCTAGCAAATGTGATGTAATGATAACCCAAGTACAATTTCTTCTAACCCATCTTTTTACATGATATTTGCTATATTCTGGTTCGGACGAGAACCGGTGCTTGCTTCGGTTTGGGCACCCAGGCAGTATCACAGTCCTCACACATATCAAATGAGATCTGTGTGGTGCATGTGTATTTGGTGCCTCATTGTACCAATATCTATGTGTTAAAAATGAATAATATTCTGGTTAGTTGTCATCATGTGATTTCCTATGTACTTCAAGAACGTGTGGTTATTCTTTTCTAATTTGTCTTCGCAAATATCAAGTGTTTGGCGTTGCTGCCTTCTTTTTGGTACTATCGTTAAGGATTATTATTGAAGAGTCGTGTATATTGGTTGCCTCTTTATTGTGTTCTTAATAAGTTTCGTTCGAACTTAAATAATCTCGATCGTTCATAATTAGGCCGAACTGAACAAATCTGGAGATACACGAATAATTCATATAATACATATTTAGTAACTACATATTTTCTACAATGCCTATATGAAACCTGACTTTTGGAAATCTGATCGATCAAAATTAACGTGTTATTGTTGTGACGTTTCTATTAGAAACAAAACGAGCCTCTTCAAGTAAACACTCAAATTTGCAAACGTAAATACAATTCTTAACTAAACACCTGTCTAATCATGTTCGTATTTGGGCTTCTGTGTGAATCTGGTTTTTGTATGTGAAATATATTCGAATCTTAGCATGTAAATGTGCTTGTATATACTACATTTATTAATGATTAATTTTTCTTAGGAAAAATATTAGGAGATATTTAGGATTAAAATCTGCATAACACTTTTACATGATCATGAATCTTCCAAGTGACAAAAGTTTTTAAGATTTAAACTTAAAAGAACTATCTACTTAAATATTCATTTCAAAACATTCTCCCTCTTTAACTGTAACTCCTAATCCTAACCTCCTTTTATGTAACTAATAATATTCAATGCAACAAAATCGTTGAGAAAGATGGTCAAATGAATGTCACTAAGCTGATACTTATCACTTCAGTTGGTGAATATTAATTGAATCCTAGTAATATTTGTGATAAACAGGGATAAAGTTATAAATGATATGATTTCCTAGATAGTAAAGTAAGGTATTGTTAAAAGTAATTCACAAGGTCGGTGTTTTGTAATGGTTCGTTACAATGTTGCAAATGTTATTCACATATATCACATCCAGATTTACGGACGATGCCATTGTTCTAAGATTTCTTTATGTTTCGGTAGATCATAGAAACATAAAGGAACCATCTAGGTGAACATTTTTTACTTGATACCAGCTAGACGCTGGTGGAAAACATAAAGGTGGTACATCAGATCCTCAGAGTTTCTTTTAGTTG